ACTTTATTTTCTACAAAGGTTGATGTTACAAAGCCAAGTTAATGAATGAGGTGTGGCGATCGCATGTCGCACCACAGGTTTATAGAAGGTAGTACCCTTCTATTCAGAATATGCGATATCAGGAAGACGCAAAAAACACCTCAACTTAAACCGATCGAGAGATCCAAGACTGCCCAAAAGTTGCAAATCTACAAAGGAATCAGGTAAATAAAAGAACGAGATAGTGGGGGCCTTGTTTCATACAAGGGAACGGAGGTGCGTGGGAAACTGGATGATCGATGAGGTGTCACAAGCAACACGCGAAAATATGGGTGTACACGGTGCGGGCAACAATACGTGGGTGGGAGACGACATGTCAAAACTCGGGGTCCAAAGATTATGCACAATACCGTGGGGTCGTGAACTACAAATTGTATTGGGACGAAACACCGGGTTTAAACACGAATGGAATGTTGGAACGCAACGCTTATACGGGCGGTTTATCCGCGATCAAGTGAATGATTGGATCAAAGGCACAGTCAAGTTCCACGAAAAGAACGTGTCACTAAAAATATTCCAACTTGGCAATATCGTCTGGTCTGCGACTCGAGTGACAACCGTTCACTGTAATTAGTACTACGACAGGAATGTGCACTTGGATTATCAAGTTAAAAATACCATCTCAGTATCACTTTTGGACATCAATCAGGGCTTTTCTGTTTGTTTTACTTTTTTATTGTCTTTTTCTCGCTTTCCCCAACTCAGCTGGCACATATTCCGTGGTGGACTTCAGCCTGAACTTCGTAAAATTGGTTGGCGTCTACTGCTCTCCGTATTCCCATCTGATACATCTGGTCAGGAGCGTATATCACTTCTCGAGAGCAAAACTAGACAATATCTTGTTTTGAAAGAAACATGGAAACGTGCGTATGTGCGTGGCCTGCTGACAGAAAAACAACTGGCCACATTGGCTTCCGTGAGCATTGATGTGGTTCGTACGGACTGGAGTAAGTTGAGTAAATGAACACATGACAAAATCTTATTTTAAGCAATAATCTCAAGAATGCAACATTGGGAGTTCTAATGCATGTGTACCGCTACACGAAGGACTACAGGAGATAATGAACGAATATGATCCCGGCGAATCTGTTGATAGGGAAGAATCGGTTTTGTCTTGCGGATTGAATCCGCGATCGAAAGATGATTATTATTATACATCGCAACCTGCATCTTTGGGCTCACGGGACAAACTAGGCAGTACGTAGCATAACTAAGCGTGAAGAATGCATTGGAGCGGCAACATAACGCAGTGAGATCCTAATAACTGAAAAGATGAGTACAAGGAGTTTGTTTGTCAATGTCAAAGGCCAGGATTGGGGTGACTGTGAGTGTTCAAGTCAAGTCAAGTCAAGTCAAGTCAAGTCAAGTCAAGTCAGTAGTAGCTTTATGCACCTGATGATCAATGAGCGAGAAGATTCAGCAGTAAGAAATCACCAATCGGTTCCCGATTGATGACTGAATGGTTTTTCATTCACATCCCTTCCACTATATCTAGATACACTGGAACCCCTCTTTGTGTTGATTTGGTCATTAATTTCCCTTATCCTTCCTATGTGTATGCCTACAAAATCCTATTTGCATATCATCAATGTGCTGCAGTTTACCTGTGTAGTACCATCAACCGGTGATCAAAACAACACGGCTTTTTCCGCTAGTTCATTTAATGGCAAATGAGTAACCGATTGACAGAGGCTCGAGTAAACTTTCTCCCACAGGGTCTAGTAGATGGCTAATCACTGGATTATTGATTTGACCATTCGTTTTGGCGCGTACGGTTATTGCAGCAAATCAACACGGGGAGAAGACAATTTCCCAATTAGAATCCATCTCATTTGGACTGGGATTCCGGTTCGTTTAGACATTTACCAGTCGAATTCGGTAGTTGTGACATGTTAGATCGACTGACAACTAACGTTTGTTCGAACTCTTCAAGTGTGCCACATCTTACGAATAATTATTTCTTAATCCCACATCGCCTGTTCCTCTCGACCACCTTTCCATTTGCGCCAATAACTTGACGTCTAACCATCATATTAGGATCCGTATTGCAATATCACGAGGCACCATGACTGAACGCTCCATAATTGACCGAATTCTATCCAGAAATGGAACACACGTTTGGATGATTCACTGAGGGTCAGCAACAGAATAAATTGTCACGGTGTCCTGGTCATGTTTAGGGCATGTCTGCCGATTCCAACTGGCCTGAAATAAAGGTGGAATTCTACAGTGATCTACATCCAGGCGATTCTTATGAAACGCCATGCCAACGAACGAAAAACAGCAATCCTCGGTACAAGTTGAGGCAAACAATGGTTTAGTAATAAAGTTGCTTTTCTAAATTGAACGCGAATCTCGGTGTACATTCGTTTCGTTATATCTTATCGTTCCCTGAATGTGATCTTTTTTTACAGTACCCACATCGTTTCTCTTTTTTCCACCCAGCCAATTCTTACTACCGCGGTGAAGAAAATAGACATCGTGTGTCGCAACTCTTTGACGTACTTGCCACTTATTCTATTTATCATCCTAGCATCGGATACAATCAAGGTAAGGTTTTCTGTACATCTATAATGGTTTTGTCTCCTATGACATAATGTATCTGGTATTTGGTGGTATAGATTCTGTTAATTTTGCCGAGCGTCGTTTTTGTCGGTCCTCATTGAAACGATTGTTACTTAAGCAGAATCTTACTAAAACTCAAATTCACGGACTTCTTAGTATGTGAATTGATATTACTTCGCAGCTGTCACCGTCTGTGTGTTCGTTACGCTCCCTCTCCTTCGTTCAGTACTTCGGATGTGTGATGCCATTGTGCGTGATGGTCGACAAAGTGAATCAAATGACCATGTCCTCCTTGTTGAAACTTTTTAACTGTGCGTCTTTGTTGTGTTCCTAAATGGACTCCTAAATCGAAGGTCCGTTATTCGAGTCTCGCCAGGGACATGAAAATAATACGCACTTCTGTCCCCTTTCAACAAACATATGTCCAGTGCTCTTTGTCAATCATCATCTTTTTCCTTACTAGCTGGATAACCATTGGTTCCGTCTCCTTGCGGCAGTGCCCTATTCTCTTGCTTCGTCTCTTAACGATCCTTCGCGAGTTTTGCTTTGCGGCATTTTCTTGTCCTCTTTCGAACATGTTCTATAGTGTGTGCTTGTCGGCTCAGTCGCTAGATGACTTCGTAAAACCAGATGAATCTTTGTATCTTATTTCGTGTTCCAACCCATGCAGAACGCTCTCTTAAATCTCGTGAGACAGTTATATAATGCATAAGGATTTATAAAAAATGCAATACAAACATAGCACCTATGTTTCTAAGCTAGCCTAAATAAAGTGAACGAGCAACCCGCATAGTTCGTTTAGTGGTTTCAGACTTAGTACCTTTGACGGAGTGTGACAAAAACTGTCAACGATATACAGAAAATCTGCGCGTGTATGTTCTGGTTAGAGTGTCCTGATATGTTCAAAATTCACTGCTAGATAGGGAGCGAAGCTGTAGGACAACTCAGTTATCAAATAATGAAACTCTCACGAACACTGGTGCACTGCGAACATAATGGCTCAAAAGAAAGAAAATCTAACAGCCGTTTTATTTTTGACGTTTGTTCTCCCAGAGTCGGGCAACAATAGAGAACATGTGCATTTGAGTTGTTAGATGAGGCACAGACTGCAGTTTACATTTTAAAACGAGTTGGCTGTTGTAGGTAGTTAAACGTCACTAACCCTTTATTTTTCGCCGGTATGGCTCTTTCAACGATTGCTATTTAATGTTACACGCTGATAGTTCCCATCTGATGTCAAAACCAGATTGCCCTTGGTCAGCTTCGGAGAAATATTTGCTCAGCACCGTTTTTACTCCAATCCATTTCCCGAAAGAAAGTCGATTGTCACAGTTAGCACCTTATTCGACGCTCGTTACATCCCTGAAGACTTTTGATTGCTTATCCTAAGAACATAGTAACGTGGAGTACTCGTTGACGTTTGATCTTTTACTTCAAAAGTCTTTTGTTCAATATCAGTCATCGCTGTGATGAAAACCTCACCGTGATCAACTTACCATTTCAACAGTACGCGCGTAATGGACGGAGGGAAACGTTTCCTTTGACTCTTTGTCGATAGAGTAATTGTCCAATCACAAACTATACCACTGAAATAACGATTTATTCGGCCTTGGCTATCTTCACTTTAGTTGCTGCATCCCTGAGATTTTCTTCATTTTCACCAAACAACTTTCTCAGACATCTTCGATTAGAGTCGTCGACCTTCGCGAAAGCGCATAGAGTGAATCCTGTCCCGAGATTGATAACGACTTCAATATGCACAAATAGGCAGCAGTTCGTTGCTGTGACCTCCTCTAAACCTCACATATAACAAACTGAAATTATCAAGAATATATAAGTGGTAGATTATCTGGTTCCATATCATGGTGAGAACAAGTTTAGTCTTCGATTACCGATCCTCTTGTTATCCCTTGTTTTTCACCTAAGGCAGCCCGCCTATACGGTACACTGATGTGTCCATTTGTTTGATATTGCTCATTAACTAACCAAATAGGTCGCGAAGTGACCATGTAGTAGCATAATTCTGTTTTGGAAATGACCTCCTCCGCTTCACTCTGGTTCGTTACTCAGTGACGAACGAGGAGATATTCCTAAGGGAATTGTTTTTGTGTTATATGGCGCATATTCGTAGACACCCACAAACGCCCACTCACACCTTTCAACTGAGCCTTTATCTGCTCCGAAGTACTCGCCCAACATCCTTTAGCCAACGCGAATTCCCTGGATCGATCCAACCGGTCATCCTTGGTTTATTTTTCCTTTCCTTTTTTTCAAATAAAAATGATACTCCGGCGTTGAGCAATCGTCGGGACACAAGAAATGAAGCATTAGTGCACAGATAATTCTTCTGCACGCAGTGTTTTCACGGTCAGCAGCCCACATTTTAGTGTGACCGTTCGCGAAAAACAGCTCCTGTGAATACGTTTCGCTCCTGACAGTGTTCTCCATTTTTATGACCACTCATAACTCTGCTTGAGCAAGCTCCACTTTCTTTCCTTCCCAAACATTAACCCCAAGCACGCTTCAAAGTCAGCAGTTTCTCAAGCGAACTGCCAATATATCCTGTCTTTTACTGTGCAGTATTTTCTTGTCGATATCCATAGATAGCTCGGAGGAGTTTTGAACTCGTTTTTAGTTGTGTATCACCAATAATCCCTGACGAGCTCACTATCAAATTGTGGGCTTACCAGTTTAGTGCATTTAGACAGCTTGTTCTGGCAACCCTCCTGTGTCCAACGCATTCTCTTAATTTGAATCTCAGTCTATACTGATCTCAACTCAAATCTTAAGTCGAGCGGCAAAGTTGCCACATGCTATACTCTTTTTGGCGCCGTATCTGTAAAGATTGGCAATAATAATACTCTTTTTTTG